ACACACCAGCCTCCTCCCTCATTTCAACAGGACATCCATCATGCAAATTCGCTCACTTTGCCTAGAACACAAGGAGCGCAACTCAGACGTTTCACCACAGACACAGACGTCATTTAATGGGGCCAATTTCACCATTCATTTTGCAGGGTGGACCGATGACACAATTTCTTTGAATTTTATAAAAGGAGAAATTGGGCGACGTTTGAATTTAATGTAAATGTTGTCAAACTCACCCTGGTTCAAAATTATGCACACCTAATTTTGTACTAAGCTAAAAAAAAAAAAAAAAGAAGGAAAATCTGATATTAATTATTTCTTTGTCATGACAATGCTTCTTGTAAATAACTCTCAGACTCTTGGAAAACCTATTTATTTCCTTACAAATGGTGACACATTTGTAAGGTGTGAAGAATGTAGGTTGGACTAAGGGTGGGCATTTATCATATTGTTTATCATTTATTGTGATAAATTCCTTAACGTGATAAGAATTTAGATTTATTGTTAGCATGATAAATTCCCATTATTGATATTCCTCAAAACTGTTACTATTTTTACTATTTTTCCCACAGTTTGCTCAATGACCGCATCAACAAATATCCAGAAATTTCAAAATATGATTAAATGCAGTTGCTGTGTGTAGTTTAGTGATACAAATCACACTTTTAAAGTAACTGGTGTCCTAAAGAAAAGTACTGCAAACTGTGTTTTTCAACACTGATATTTGTTTGTGGGGATAAGACTGCTGTGGCATGGAGCAACAGCAATGTAGCTACTTAAAAATACAGTAAGAAATAACTCTACTGCCACATTTATCTTTAGAATAATAGTACCACAAGATATTGTGATAAAACTTTAACTCTCTATCGCCCACCCCTGCAGGTTGGACCAATGATATCCTTGCTAAATCCTCTTTGCCAATGTAAAACAGCCAGCTCTTTTTTTGACTGTAATCTGGTATCGTTTACTGAACTGGATAATTGAAGTTTGAAGAAGTAAGACATACTGACAACAATTTATTCTTTTAAACAGGGACTTCAGTCACCATAAACAACCACGTCAGCCCAATCCTTCTCATGCCAGCTTGGTCACACACCAATGTGGGGACTGGAGCTATGAAATATTTAGATGTATAGTTCAGATTCAATCTTCGCTTCAAACAATCACAAAAAACAATGTGACAGTCAAAAAAAGACAATTTGTTAAATCATTTTGGACGTTTGACTCTGCTTCCTAAAGTCTTGTTTTGAAAAGTCACCAAAGAGAGAGAAGTGAAAGAGCCTTGAAATGTCCCACAGGCAGGTATGAACTGACACATTTTAGAAGCATCCTTTCTTGAAGAAAAAGTCCACGACTAATCAACCAAAATTGCAAAAGAACAAAATGCCCAATGGGGGAGAAATAAATAACCAGCATCCGGCAGCAGGGCCGCTGCAGATGTTGAACATCTGTTCAACCACCTGAAAAATGGAGCTTGGCAGAATCTAAGAGCAACTAATGTAGAATGCAATAGTTTTTTTTGTTGTCAGTGAATGGCAGATGGTAAAGAGGCTTGTTGTTTTTTTGGTTTTTTTTACCATCAAACAAACAAATATTTGTTTTTTCAGATTGTTGAAAAGCACTTATATTTTCAAGGCCATTCACTGTTTTGTAAATGTAAGCAATTAATTGCTTTTAATTAAATAAAAGTGATTTCCGATAATGAGATAAAATAATCCTGATTGCATTTTTTTTTTTCGTACTATCAAGAAGTGCTTGAACTATGTTTAAAATCCAGGTCCATGTCAGTCCACTCTAGTACTGTACAGTTTATCTCTAAATGTAAGTAGGGTGCATATAAATATGTTTGACCCTGCATATACAACTTTAACCCTCCATGGAAAATACAAGATGATAATGAGTTTTTGCACATGTCTTACACATCTCTCACACTCTCTCTCTCTCTGTCAACTATTATGATCCTTCTTTTTCTCCTTCACAGCATCGCTCTTGCCTCCACCATCTCTTCACACCACATTTCCTCCCTGCTCTCACCATCTGCGCTCCATCTTCCATGTCACCTTACCCATCACAGCCTTGTAAATGTCAAGGTGTAACCATTACAAAGAACTCGTCATTCATGAAGCATAGCGAGGAAGTAATAATAGGCAACCAGCCATCCATCCTATTGCTTTATGGTGCAGATGAAATTATTATCGCAAGCACAGGAATCGTAAACAGAGAGCAATCACCTGAATTCCTCTTCAGGTGAGGATGTGGTGTTTGTGTTGTGCGCTGCGAAAACTTTAGTGGGCGTTTAAACAAACCAAAAGACTCCACACAAGGCTTGTGTAAGTGAGGGAAAGTTATTCTGTCAGGTTGAAATGTTAGCATAAAAACTGCAGAGAAGACACTTTTTGGAGAAAATCTATCACAACAACCCTGAAGGCTGTTCATCCGGTGTAAACACAGAAGCACTCACCAAGCCGCGACTCTACTTGACACCAAATGCTACTTTTCCCAGCGGGTTTTTCTTCGAAATTAGAAGAAACGTCTCCTCTCTTTTCCTCCGCTGTTGACAGCAACGTTATTCCAGTGGTGCTACAGATGTTTTAACAACACAGCCACGGTGTCTTTGTTGCGGTTAAAAGCAGCTCGAAATACCCATGCAACCATGGGAGCCGACGCTCTGCTGTGTGTCCGCTGGCTCCTCAGAGCGAGCCCTGATTGGCTGCTCCCATCGTAACGCAGTCTTACACTCTGAAGCGATTGGCCCAGAATTTAACGTTATGTTCATGTACTACTTTGAAAATTGGGATTCAGAGTTTAAGTCTTTCAGACGTCCAAAAGAAAATAAACAAGCAAAACATAATTACTATTAATAACAAAATATGCAAAGTCAGAAAAAAATATCTAAGACTATTTTTAAGCATCCAACTGGAACGTTTATCATTATATTCCTTTTTTTTTCTTTTAAACTCTAATATCTTTTCAATATGCAGATTTCATCAACTTAAATGCGCCTTATTTTAGGGATTTCACGTGATAGACAAACAGGAAGCGATGGGAAATTTTGGAGCTGTGCATTGGTGTCCTGCCACAAGGATTCAATACTTTTTAGAAGCACGTAGTAGCTTCTCTGCACTTTCTCTGCCTTTGGAAAAGCAGCTCAAACTTGTTCAGACATGAAGGTTTTCAAGTCTTGCCACAGATTTGTCATTGGATTGAGGTGTGAATTTGCCTGGGTCATTATAACATATAATAATAATAATAACATAATTATAATTATAATAACATATAATTGTCCATCTTTTGCAGCCATGGTATTGTTTCATAATCGCCCTAAATGTTTCCCATCTATCATACCCATCAACAAACTTCTTTGTCTCTTAAAAATAAAAGCATCTCCATGGTACGATGCTGTCACCACCATACGTCAGGAGGTTAGGGTAAGTGTAAAGAGCAGTGTTAGTTTTTCTGCACATAGAACTTTACATGTTGGCCAGAAAGTTTCATTTTGATTTTAGACCAAAGTATCTTCTTTAAAAGTATCTTCTTTAAAATGTTTGCTGTGTTTCCCCTCTACGTTGCCTTAGATAAGCATTAAATGGGATTTTTCAAAGCTTTCTTTCAACAATGGCCATAATGCCATTAAGACATGTGCATACACCACTTTATTCATTAGAAAATCTAAAACGCTTTAGGATGCATAAACACTTCTAAGCTCCTTTAATTACATTGTATTTAATTCACTTGTTTTTTTTTAGATGAAAAAGTAGCAACACCACCACTGTTTTTGCCAAAGCTGACACAGTTCTATGTATCACTTACAACCACAGCTAAGACAATTCCAGTCTAAAGTGTCAGTATAAACACATTTTCCACTCAGGGTGTAAACCGACTCCCCCATTCCTTATCTGCTGCTTGGATTGCATCCTCAGCCTCCCTCAGGTCAGTACTCCATGGGTCTCAAATCTCTCACCACACAGCAAGATTTGTACTGCACAGTTTAAAAATGTTTGTTTAGTATGTTTATATATATGTGTGTGTGTGTGTGTGTCTCAGTTTGAAACTAATTGAGAAGGATCCATGGGGAAAGACTTGAAAATTGATGTTCACACTCTCCATCCAGGCTTCATAATTGGTCTATCACATAAAATCCTCATAACATACTCTGAAATGACAAAATATAGAAAATCTTTAGGCAGCGTAGAACTTTTAAAAGTATCTGAAACTAATTCAGCTTTTGACTACTGATAAAAAATAAATTAATAAAAAAAAAAAACTGTTTTGGTCCCTAATCATTTTTTTTATTATTTATTAGGCTTAGTCTTGGAGTACACTTACCAGATCAAGGAAATTATCTTGAAAATTACTAATTTGATTGAATTTGACTCGAAACCGGAAACAAGAACATCATGATTCAGCGGGATATTAGCTCCACCTGCTGGTTACTGTAGGTAATTACAAACAAATGGTCTGCTCTCATTTTTACATTCGTAAATCTGTTCATTTTCAAACAAGTCTTCCTTTGAATTTTAGAACATAGAACTATAATACACAAACATACCAGATGTTACATTCGCCAAATACAGTCTCTTTTTGCCGCAGACTATCATTGAATCAGACAAAACATTCTGTTTTATAGGACTTCTAAATACCAGAATAACAAGATTGTTTTGGATAATTTTTTAATAGACTTTAAATTAAAGTTCACAGAAATGTCCTTAGCATTTGGCAGGACTCTTTTAAACAATATCACCTGGCAAATCTAACTGACATAAAAATGAAAAAATAAAAATACACCATATTTAATGTCAGATGGCTGGGTGGGACTGGTTCTTAATCTTTTTACACAAGGTACTGAAAAATGAGTTTTCAGTTGTATATTTAGAACAGGAAATTATATACAGTTTCTTGACTGGGACATAAACTTGGGATATGACCCAAAATCTTGGCAATAATAATTTACCAATACAATAAATACAAAAACACAAAAATCTGTAGTTGTAAATAGATTTTTATTGGCTTTTGTGTTTAAAAAAACAAAAATGAAAACAACACAAATTACAGAGCTGGGAAAAAATAATCTTAGCATAGTCCAACCCTTTTTTAGGCTGCATCCTATCCAAGGGAACCTGCCAAAGACAACGATAAATTATCAAGTGAAATGTTTGCATGATTTGCTCCAGTTGTTTTCTTATGTCCCATTCAGGTAATGTGACCTCAAGTACTACGGCAGCACAGCTGAGACATAATCAAAGCTTGTAGTGTTCTACGGCAACACATGGACATAAAACAAGCATGTCTTCTTTCTTTTCTTTAGACAAAAAAAAAATGAAAAAATGTAGGTTGGTAGCATGCCAGACTCAAACTGGAAAGCTAACACTGGTTACAAAAGATCTGTTTACCTTTGAAATGATACTGCAACACGTGGAGTTCGTATGGGGCGTTCAAAAGCTCTCCATTTTCTTTCAGTGGAGAAACCGAGTTTCAGAACTGCCCCATACAAACCACCTAATTGTGATATTCAAAACAAACTGCAAAGAAAGAAAAAAGAAAGGGAAAAAAAAATAAACCCAGCAGAATCTGAGCGTAAAAGAACATGTAAACGTTCTGACAAAAATAGCCAATTTTTCTGCAAACTAGAACAAATTTGTTCTTAACGAACATGACAAACCAAGCCAATGCTCTGTGCCTAACACTTCAAATTCACTGGATATGCAGCATTTGCCATCTCTCTGCAACATATAAACACAGGAAAAAGTAGCCAAGCCACATTAATATGCGCATCAACAGTCAAATGTCAAAACATCTTCGATTGCACAAAATGAAAACAATCATTCGCAAAGGCAAACAAAAGCATGATAGGAAGAGGGACCGAGGAAGAAACAAAAAGCGATATTCATAGACACTATGTTATTATTTACAAACATCTGAACATCCTTCACAACAAATGGAAAGTCTAAACTGTACAAACATCTGCTATGAGAACGGTTGCGCAAAATGCCATTTAAAATACAGTAATACTTTTGTTTTCTTTTCTTTCACAATGTACAAGTTTCGTCCGTCCACACGACAGAAAGCAAAGCACGAGCCTTGAAAGGCCACAAAAGTGCATGTTATCAGGTCAGTTGGAAGCCACTGGGAAGGAAGGACTGGTTTGACTGGGAACCTAGGCTCCCAGTCTATCAACACCCCCAAACTGCTCTGTATTGCGAGATTAACAGCTAGTCAGTGGATGGAAATCTGGAGTATATATTTGATTGACATGCAGGCACACACTCTTGAACACAAATACATCATCCAAGTACTCGCACGCAAAACAGGCTTTTAGATGAGGAACCTTTCAACATCGTCGACCTCCCAACATTTTCCCCAAACTGTCACATTAGGTTCAAGTAGAAACTCTCTGGCAGAAGATACTCTGTAATTTTAGGACGCAGTAACAACCAGAAGGAAGGCTTCTTATCTCATTAGGGACACAACTTCCTGTTTCCACACAAGAGGAGTAAGGTCTGAGAGGTGTCTACAAGCTGAACAATTGAGGATCTTTAAATTGTATTTTTCAGGATGATCAGAGGCATAATTCCAAACAGAGGGTCAGATTCTAGTGAACAATGTCGACACCAACCAGGGAGGTCAAGAAAGTGAGCAATATTTTTTTTTAAATGGCATTTGCTTCACAATCTTTTCAACACTCTGCCTCTCCCTCTTGTGAACCTTTTCGAAGACATGTTTTCCTTCCACTTAACTTTCCATTAATTTTTTTGGATATAGTCGTCTGAAGAGCCACGTTCTTAAACGATGAGCTTTGTGGTGCGAAAGTGACCGTTGTCTGTGAAATGAGACGTCTTCCCCACAACAGTACAGAGTTACTAACTAACTGTGGCTGCTCAGGGCTGTATGCAAGTATATTAATGGAAAGTTGCTTCACTCTGTGTGTAACATATCCACACAATATGCAATCATCACTTTTTACTGACCCACTTAAATAAATCAACTTTTTGATGATGTTCTTATTTTTTCTGATATGCAACTGTAGATGCAGTGTTTATAGGAGAATGTTTGAAGCATAACTTTCTTTAGTGCAAACTAGAGAGGTTGAAGTGACCTTAAAACATACAGGCGCCTTTGTCTTAAAGTCAACTTCAGCTTTATTGGACTTTCCTAAAAATAGCTGAAAAAGTGCAGACTACTGAAACAGAGTTAAATTAAGCCTTGGTTAAGTTAAATTATTAACTTGGTTATTAAGTTAAATTAATGAAAGATGTCTTCAAACATTCCCCTTGTAGAATGTCTACAACAGGGTGAAAATGCAGATTTTCTTGTTTTACTGTTTTTCATTTTAAATCGATAGAAACTAATCATTTCTTTTCAGGCCACTGAATTCAGCTTGAAGTCAAATCCAACAGATCTCTACCATCTGCACCTCTCCTCAGACGTTTACTCTCCACCTGATGATGCTGATGTTCTCCCCGTAGGGTGCATCTTCCTCTTTCCTACTTCTCTGCTCCATCAGAGTATCTTCAGATTTCCTTTGGTCTTCTCTGTTACAGTTCATACCTACCATCCCGAGCCTAAAAGCTTCCTTCTCTGTTTTTTTTTTTTTTTTTTTAAGTCACCGAAAGGAGAAATCCACGCCTCGCTAACGGCCGAGCAGGTAGACCACCACCTCGTAGGTGCACATCATGATAGCAGTGTTGGGAATCTGTCTGACGAGGTGCGTGGTCAGGCCGCGGTACAGCGCCCGGTACCCCTCCTCTCTGGGGACTGTCAGAAGAGTTTGGAAGAAGGAGCGGTACTTGCTGCCTTCTTCTCGTAGTCGCGTGCGTATCACTTCTGCAGTTTGAGAGGAAACGGAGAAACACATTTTGTTAACACTTGACACTCTCCATAGTGAAAGAGCCCAGGACTTACAACTTTTAGTAAGTGAATTTCTCAGTAGCCACGTTCCCAAGCATGATAATAGGGGTGCAACTAACAATTATTTTAATAATTGGTTATTCTACCGATTATTCTTAAGATTCATTGGATGAAAATATTCTGCAGATTTTTCATTTGGGTACTTGAGCCTTTTTTTTAATACAATTTAGAAATATATGATGCAAATAAGCAGTTTTAATTAAATAATATTTTTAAAATACAAAAATAAACATTTTACTGTCAAAAATGCAATAACAGCATCTACAGGTAAAAAAAATTAATACTTCTAACATCAACATGTGAAAAGCTCACCCCTTTCTGCTTGACTTATCAATACAGTGTAGGGCAAACGTGTTTTCTTTTTAAATTAACCAATAAATAATTGGACAGCAAAAGATGCTTAGTAGGAAATGTTTCTGCCCACTGTTCTGCGTAGAACAGATTTACTGGCAAAGTTTTTTTTTTTATCTTAAATTCAAAAACAACTATGTTTTTGAATTTCAGCAAATTGTTTTTTTTTTATTGAGCTTGCATACCACAATAACAATCAATTACTAAATTAGTTGATGATTATTTCAATAATTGACTCAAGGTGATTAACTCTTTCAGCCCCAGCATTATAATAGTGAAAAATGAAGCGAAACCCACCATGGGGATAGGCGATGGAGGTGGCACAGGTCTTGGATGTGGCCGCTGCGAGCATCATGCCCACAAAGTCCGACGCATCCTTAGACGTCTCGTCCTCTTCGTCCATGCTGTTGTGGACTTTGGACTCGAGCAGTTTTCGTTTGATACTTTCATAGATCACAAAGTGGATCACAGTCTCAGAGATGCCAGCGTACGAGGCCGACATCCCCCTGTAGAAACCTCGGAGGCCGTCCACCTGGTACACCCGCCGCATGCACTCAAACGCGTTCATGCGCCGCTCTCCTCGGTTCCTGTGATCAGAGAGGAAACTCTGAGTTTAGAGAGCCTTGCAATGTAGCCATAAGTGTTGCAATTTCTGACATTTTTGTCATGTTAGAGCAGCAAACATTCATTTTGGGAGAAATTAAGACCGAATTAAATTATATCTTGGCTTTGACTAGACCATTACAACACATACACTTTGCTTTAAGTTAAAGTGCTATATGTTACCCCCCGCCTCCCCCCTCACGCGTCCCGCAAGAGCAATTAATCGCATGCATCATTTTACTTCACAAAAATTAGTCGTTTGTCACAAAAAAATGCCAAAATACAATATATAATGTGACCAAATTTGAAATCGTTTGAGTTAACCATCATGGCAAAATAGCAGCATGAAGTTAGTTTTTGTCAAAAGAAAACATCGGTTCCTCACCTGGAGTCCAGCTGCAGACGGGTCTTGATCAGCCAGATCGGGTTGGTGGCTGTGATGGCGGTGAATCCTGGGAAGTTAAGAAGAAGTCAGAGGTTCAGACAGATCCCTCGAGACGTGAAGTAACACAAACACATAAGCTGCACTGAAATTCTACACTGTGCAAGGACAGAGAGAAAGCAGTTCACACAACAGGACCAACTGGCTGTCTTTTTTGAGTCAAACCCTTTTAAAAATTTGATTATTTCAAATTAAAGCTGCATCAATTAAATAGAATTTTAAAAATACTAAATAATGAGTTAAAGACAAAAGCATGCTCTTTCATGGTAAACAGTACTGTAGTGAAATGTATTTGGCTACTTGAATAAAAACTGCATCAAAAGCACCCATAATTGTGAGTGCTCTGTTGATTTTTGTCATTTTGAACAATGTCAACAAGTTGCAAAAAGAAGCAAAACAGCAACTTCCTCTTAAGCCTAATTTTGCTACACTGCAGAAAAGTTGATTTATTTTAAAAATCATGATTCGCTATGGGCCATCAGAACTTCGTCTGCAACTGTACTGATCTGAAAGGAAAGTTTTTGATGCCCATTTTCAAAGTTCTTTTTATTATACATGCTTAAGTCAAAACATGGGAATGTTCCCCTTAGTTTCACTAACGCCAAGATGTAGAAATGCATTGATAAATTAGTTAGTGACCTAAATAGGAACATTTCTATCTTAAACGCCCTTGACCTGGGATCCTCGTGTTGGCAACTCAAAAATCTGATCTGTTTTTGCAGTCAGTGAATGCACCATACAGAAACACTAACAGGTCACTTGTCAACAACACGTTTCAGTGCTGAAGTTACTCAGGAAACAAAGTTTAAAGTTGACTAATTTTAGTATCAGGCATTTACAAATGTATCAAAGGAATCACACAAAGCTGAGTCAGCTTTGCAAAAGCATCTTCTACTGAAAAATGTCAGCTTTTCATTTAAGCCGCTTTGTATAAACAGAGAGTGAGACTTCAGCAGATAACAGGAAGGCCGAACTCATTACAAGTGTTGCAGCAACATAGTTTTTATAAGCCCATAGTGGCATCTTTTTAAAAAAATTTCCATAAAACATGGTGGATATAGAAATGCCTGTTTCATGGGTAATACACGAATGCCAGAATGCCAACCTTCACAGCTAATAATGCTAGCTATGTTAATTGCTAATGAAAGATGGTGAAACTGTAGAATTGTGTTTAAGTGCAGAGCAATACAGTGCTGACTGTTCTCATACATTAATGATTTTCTTGTAAAATAGTTAGATGGAATATTTATTTATTAATGGATCTTGGAGAGAAAAATCGGAATATTTTTGAAATATCCGCTCCTCTATTATGTGTGCAAAAAACTTAAAGAGCTATAATTTGTCTAATAAAGTATACAGTATATGCTGCGATTCTTTTAGTTGGATTTTATATCTTTGTCCAATAGCCTTCTATTGTATTAGCAGATTTCCAGTGATGGAGACAAACCTGGCTCTGTGACCTTGTGTTTTTTTTTTTTTTGGGAGAAAAATCATTGCTTCATTTTACAATAAACACGTTATGTGAAGTTACAATTTCAACCAATCTAGAAATGGAAAAACCTTTTAGCAGTTAATTACAGTTCTAAAGAAAGAGATGAAAACAGCATTGTACTCTGTATTTAATGACAAAACATCTAAATTGCACAATTTTTGTTATTCTTCAGAAAATCATGTAATGAACCAGTTTTTCACTACTTAGGCACCACAGGTGAACTAGAGACTATTAGATATAAATAACCAGGAGGGTAAAACAGAATGAAATTAGGTTTTTGGGAGAACGTTTTAAACTAATTAAAACCAACAGAGACCTTTCAAATTAAGTCTGCACTTGCAGTAATGGTCAGAAATTTAATGTTACTGTATTTTTAATCAAGCAAATCATTCTGTTATCACTTAAATATTTTTTAATTGCTAGATTAACCTGCCGTTTTGGTAGAATGTACATTTTAACAGCGTCTTTGTTTAGCAGCTAGATGCAATAATGTACATTTTCTTTTGTATGCTATGGCGTGGCTTAATGTGCATTTTGTCTCATTTTAGGAAAATGAGCCAAAATCAGCAATAAGTCGAGGAGAGAAATCATTAATGCTAGCCATCTGCAGGAAACGTCTAATGCAAGAGATGGTCTAACAGACAGATCTAGTGTAGCAATGCAACAGAGACCTATGTGGAGGCAGCTGCATCAGAACGAATTACACAGGTCTGTTGGAGAGAAGAAGAGAAGAACAAAACAGAGGAAGAAGACAAGAGAGGGAAGTAAAATGAAGTAGCGTCTAATGGCGTGTACTCACGAGGGAGGGGCAAAGCTCCTCCAGCTCCTCCCCGCTGCAGCTAGAAGCCTGCAGATATGGGGGGTTCAGATGGCGGGGGTCTCCCACCCAATCACGCAGGCGTGAGAGCTTTACAGTAAAGCCCTAAAATAGACACAGGCTTTTCTGTACCACAGTCACACACAAGCAGCAGTCACATCTACCCCAAAGCCCACCAACCTCCCACCCAAACCCACTTTCTGAGCAAGAAGATGGAGAAGAGATGGGAGGTGAGGGAGTGAGCCCCCTCCTCCCATCTTTCTTTTAGCTGTAGCCCAACTCACTGCACCATCTGCTTACTCCAGCTGCAGTTCATGTCTTTAAATTAATTTACACGCTCTGTTTTCACTTTATCCCTTGTAAGAAGGAAAATAAAAAGTAAACCAAACTTCAGGTCTATCTGAACGCCAAGTAAATACAATAAGCTAAAAATAAAAAAAAGTATTCCTCTCACAATTACTGAGTCCATTGTCTGTCATATTCTAAAGTGACAAGAAAAGATCAGGTGTTTATTGAAGTAGGTTTGAAAAGAAAGCGAGGCAGGTGGAAATGCTAACCTTGCCGTGGAGACAAACTCAAAACAGAAATCAGTGATGGTGGTAAATGATGTCATGGAGATGGAGCAATATTACAACTCGGTCTGAATCTAATTCAGCCCCTTGTTTAATATTTTGTGACGTTACAGCCATGAACCTCTAAGTATTTTGATGTGATTTTATGTGATGGGGAGGAAAAACAATCCTGCAAACACCTTAGCTGTGGATTTCTACAGTGACAGAACAGCTGTGTTAATACAAAGTTTAATTCTACACAGGTGCATTTATCTATTTTGGTGGCCTCTGAAGGCATTGGCCTTAGATTTTATTAATGAGCATCAGAGTAAGAGTGGAAAGACTGAAAAGTTACCCCAAATCTTTCAGATTTTATTTGCATTATAAATGCTGAAAATTATGTTTTGTTTTCATTCTGATTCACAATTATTCACTACTTTGTCACATAAAATCCCAAGTAAATACACTGGAGTCTCAGCCAATATTATACATATAGGATATATCCGCTCTATCATGTTGCTATATTGGTATCCATTCAAAAAAATAAAACAGGGCAGATATTAACGACCGATATTTATTTCTATCGTTTTGCCATTTGGTTCTGGAGGCGAAGGACAAAAGGTTGGTCATGTGGTATTTGTTTAATTATGTGACAGTCATAGTGATGCAGCAAAGGATTGTGGGGAGTTTAAATGAAGCAGAAAATTTCTGGTGAAGTCAGCAGCAAGGTCATTTTTTTCAAGATGTCAAAAGGGAAGAAGGAATATGCAACGTAAACAATATATGTAAATATCGGTTATCGGCTATATCGGATATCAACATCAGGATTTCCCCCAGTGTATTATAAACCTGGTGGCCCGCCATGCTTTACAACCCGCCAGGCTAAGCGTTGCTTGTTTACATTTCTAAGAAGGAAAAAAAAAATCTTTTTTTTTTTTTAAAGCCAGGCTGCAAGCGTCTCTTTTACTCTTAGCATTTCACTAGCAGAGCAGATTTATTCCTAAAGGATAGGTTTATAATAGGTTTATAGTTTATGCATTTAAAACCCGACAGCGCAGACCAATCACAGCTGGCGCCTCTGCGCTTTGCCTCGCGCGCTGCCGCCGTTTGACCTCAGTGCGGACCGCGCGTGCCTCCTTTCACTCAAACTGGACACAGGCTGACCTGTATGGATATTTACATAAACCGACTGTGAGGCATTATGATCCTTTGGAGAACTCTAGGTAAGAGTTTAAAACCCGCCGCGTTAGCTCTGGTTGCGCAGCTCAATGTGAAGCGCAGGAATAACTTGTAGCGAATTCAGAGGCGCGTTGTGGAGCTGTGAGAATGATTTATCTTTGTGAACGAACAATTATATGCGGTGTTTACATCTCAACACGCTGCCCAGCATGTGGCTCTGTGTCTGTCTTCCCTGTAAAGTTTATGTCTGTGGTCCCGGTTTGCCGTAGCGTTTGTGGATCACGAGCAGCGCTAACCTCATCATGCAGGTTCAGCCTGATGAGGAGCTTTCGCGCTCTCCTCGGAGTCACGCATCACGTTGATTTTATATTATTTTATCATCATTTTTAGTATTATTTTTCCGGTTACACGATGCGGAGATCTGAGAAATTTGTCCCATAAACTCGACCAACCACAATAGTTTCTGTGACGATTAAAAACTCAACAGACACGAAATGGAAGAGCTACTAAAGCCACATTAGCAGCATTGAATTAAATCTCCTGTTTGTTGCGCATTTCTGCGTAGTGCAGCAGATTACCTCATCATGCAGGGCCGGTCCAAGGCTGTATGAGGGCTGGAGCAGAATCTGACTTAGGGGCCCCTTTTGTTCCTAAAAATATCGGCACCTCTAACAGCTTCTGTGTTAGATTTAGTGAAATATGGGAGAAGGGAGTAGTTTAATTGGCCTTATTTGTAAATTCAAAGATTAAACTCACAGCATCAAATTGTTGCTATGGTAACAAAACAATCTATCTATGAATATTGTTCTTTGAAGTTTTGCAAAGTAAACTTGAAAGCTAAAACCTTCAAACCTTTCTCCTTAAAATCTTGTATTTAAATGTTAAACAATTTAAAATAATTTAATTTATGTATGCCTAAACAATTTAATCAAATTTAACAGCACTGATAATCTCAATAAGCAAATGTTACATGCATCTGTGGTCTGTTTTAAAATATTAGCGTTTATGGGGCCCCTGAAGCCCTGGGGACCTGATGGAGCCGCTGACTTAAGTTGGATTAAACAGAAGTGCAAATTTATTGTTTTTAGACTAGTTGTGGGTTTAAATAGCATTTCACTGGAGATTTTTTCCCGTAACATATAATTACACAGAAATACTTTTACATTTCCTGTAACTTAATATCTTTTAATACAAAAACATGGTGGACCGCCGGTGGACCGCCTCGACGCCCCGACCACCGGGCTTAGCAAATTTCTGGGGGAAACCCTGGACATCAGCCCAAATTCTCACATCGGTGACTCCCTAATATTTACTCTATATGATATGATAAAGTTGCGCCTTATGATGCATCTGAAACAATAAATGTGGAAGACAAAAGTCTGACACGGCGCACAAAGATAAAAATATAACTGACTGCACTAAGAGCTGAACCACAAAGCTAGTCAACACCGATCCTTTTGACATTGCGCAACTCCACTTCTTTGTTTTTCCAGAGAAAGCTGCATCTGTGTATGGACATGCTGCTGCAAGTACTGCACCTAAAGTCTCCCATAAGCCTTTAATGCACGTGCAGTATTTCCAGAGGGGTTTGACCTACATTCTGACACAGGGGAGCGTTTCAGAAAGTAAGTCTGAGCGAGGTGGAGAGTGGGAGCAGCCGCTCTCCTCCAATTGCAAAGAAGCCCACAGTTCCAAGCCAGGGGGCCATAAGGGGAACTCCTCTATACAGTTAGTTTATGAAACTGGAAGCAATTATCCTGAGTCAGGGTTAAATTCAGTCAGCAAGCTCCAGTTTCATAATTCTCAGTTAGTTGCAAGAAGAGCTTATTAGAGATGTGGTTAAGATAGACACATGAAATAAGTTTTTAAATGGAGTATACAATTATTCAGATATGAGTACAGGATGTTTTAAGAAATATTTGTCAAGCACTTCCTCATCTTCCTCTTTAGGAAGGTTGTAAAAAACTAGAAAATTGCAGTAGAGTCTTATACATTCATTTTACTCACGTAAATATGACTTGTATTCAAAACTGATGCAGAGTTAAAAAAAATAATTCGTATTTGACTTTATGTTTAAAATTGGGATATTTTAGTCAGAATTTCTGCTGAAATATCACCAGTTCTCGGGTTACAGACTGATATCAGCGTGGACCGATAACAGCTTCCCCTGAAAAGAACTGACTGAAGCAATACCAATCAGAAAAGGATGATGACGCCAGACAAAATGAACAAACTGTGTGCAAACCTCTGCACAGAGACAAGGTTAGCATTTCTTTTGTGCTGACAAAAAACAAAACAAAAGAAAAAAAAAGTCAATCAATCAACACAAGTGTGTCTTTACCTTTAATGTGCTGCTGTAAGAACTTAAAGGGAAGGGGGAGGTGTGTCTCCTAAAGCTAGAGCAAACACTACACCCTAAGAAATGGTAATACCATTACAAATCAGTTCTAGTATTGATAAAAATCACCATGGTTTTCATCATACCAGTGTAAAGAAATGGGGTGCTACCTGACGCGTCCGCCCGAGTGCCGGGGGCCCCGGTTGACCTTTGGGGGCCGTGTTTTCTTCTCTATACACACAAAGCAAAGAAGGGGGGGCCCAGACCACACTGTTTAAGTCACAACTGGGAGGTTAAACTATTTACAGACGCCTCTGGAGAGGCCTGAAAATTAAAAAAAAAAAAGAGAGAAAAAAAGAAAAAGATAGAGGGGCAAGGACGGGGGTTAAAAAAAATAAAATAAAAACATGGAGGACATGAGGGACAGTGGGGATAGGAGACGTGGAAAGCACAACCTAAACTTTGAGGATCATTTTTTTAAACACTTTTTTCATATAATTAAAATATACCTTGAGAAGTACTTCGTTCTATCCCTTGAACTTTTTCACATTTTGTCATGGTGCAACTACAAACCGAGCACATAACTGTGAAGAGGAATTAAAAAGATGTTTTTTCCCCGATGTATGTTGTGCAGTTGCATTCAGCATTTTGTGTCTGTCTCTATGAACTTTGCTCAGGAAGAGACTAAAATCACCACATTCTTTTTTGCTAAAGAGCTCGAGCTCCATCAGATTAGGAGGACAGCATCTATTAGCATCGATTAGCAGCGTTTGTTTACAGAAACACATTATTTGAATGTGGGCAAAAAAACATTTGTTTTGCTCTGACCAGGCACCTTTTACAATGGAATATATTTGTCCCACTACATCAGTGAAGTGGATCTACCGAAACCAGGCTGTAAACGGTAAACATGTGCAGGAAATTCCTTTGCATTGGTGAGTAGAATGATATTATTCTGCAAAACAGGAGTATCTGTTTGCCTTTGTGAGTGTCCTTGACAGGAAGGACGATGCTAAGCTAAACAAGGAGGAAGACAAAAATGTGAGTCGACATGAATGAGGAGCCGGGAGCTCCTACGAACTTCTCCGATGAATAAAGGATTTCTTGTTACGACTTTTACATAAAGGACAGATTTTCAGAATCAGCAATGAGCAGATGTCCCGTAAACGGATTCTCTGCGGCTCCTCCTTCCAGGGTTTGTCAATTAAAGTGAAATAAACGTGTCTTGGTAGATTTGCGAGTCTGCCATTTTATTGTCAGATGTCAAATGTCTGTTTTGAGAGACATTTAAAACCATTTTACACTAATATTTGTTTTCAATATCATAACTTTACCTCTGTCTGGTGTGTTACTTTGTTTTTTTATGCTGCATTCCCCAAAACTATTAGCTGAGGGTAGTCACTTGCACTGCACTTTACTTAGGAAAATTAGAGTGAAGGGGGCTGAATACATATGAATGGCCAACTTTTCAGATTTGTATGTGCACAACCATAAATCCTTTTCCTTTCACTTCACAATTATGTGATATTTTGTGTTGGTCTGTAATATAAAAGCCCAGTAAAACATTAAAGTTTGTGGTTTTAACACAACAAAAAGCGAAAAAGCTAAAGCGGTATGGAAACTTTTGCAAGGCACTGCAAAAGTTTGCTATAGTCAGAAATTTTTAACTCATGAGGTTCAATTCAATGAAAGTCCGACTGCTGCTTAGAGGACGTTTCTCCTCAGCTCTGTGTTCAAAGCAAAGCCACCATTAAGAGACAATTTCATTTAATCAGAAAAATATATTTCACTACGAGTTTGATTTTAAGGACGTTCCACAACTCTCAAATATAACAGCATAGCAGTGAAATGTAAAATAGTTATTAGTTTTCAAGCAAATACATGCAAACATTTTTTATTAAGATCAGTTTGATCCTTAGAGTGTTAAATTGTGCTTTCTAATAGACCAATTACTGTGCATAATTAGTAGATGTTTTTGACACATGAAACAGCTGGATAATGTCTTCTTATAACAGACAATATCATTTAGCTTTTACCATGCTTCAGATAAGAGGGAGGGTTTGTGCCTGGAATACTATAAACTATGACAATGAGTCATAAAAAAACAAATTTAAAAAAAGAGATTAAGGTTGTCTTAATGAAGACACACAGAATACTGTCTTAATACGTTTTCTGAATGAAACCCATCGGTGAGACAAAACTGCCCAGGCAGCCTGGCAGACGGTCAACAGGCAGATAAAAACACGCGGTGACAGACAGACAGAAGGGCAGGAGAGAGGGAGCCGTCAGTACCTGCCATCCCGGCGGACAACATGTGCACCTGGGTCGAGTCTGGCTCCAGAACGCCATTCAGCTTCTCCTTGGCTGTTGAATAGGCTCCGAAGTAGATTGCCCTGCGGATCATAAAAGCAGGCCAAAAGCAGAAGAGACGTTACTGGAAATTAAAAGTGAAACCTAATTATACATACACCCCACACAGCCAACAATAAAAAATAAATAAACTCCATCTGCATAAAATGACATTTATTAACTATAAAAAGAAAGAATTAAAATTAGATCAGATCATGTTTCTGTGTGTGCATGTGAGCAAAAATCCCATGTCTCTAATTTAGCCTCGACCTCAGCTGATCTTCGCTCTGTAAATAATCCCGGGATTTAGTCAACATTTTCTGCAGACTCATATTAAACCCGATGACACCGCACAGAAACTCGTGCTGTGAGGCGGTGTGTGTGAATGTCTGCGCAGCTTGTGTGTGTGATGCAGACGAACGCAGGAGGTTCACGCACTCATTAGTATCAGAGGACGATATTGTTTTTTTAATTTTTCCCAAATATAAAATAAAAGATGAAAAACTGAGTTTGCATCAACACTACAGGTTTTGATGCAAACTCTTAACAAAAAGCTATTTTATTACGTAACAATGCATATTTCTATTCCATTAAGTTATATTGTACATTTAAGTTGTTGGGGACAGAGTGATGTTAAGGCACTTCAAGCTAATTTTCTCTGCTCTACGAAATGTACTAATTTGCTTCTTTCGTTTGCATCCTCCTTTATTAGCAGTCGCATAATACCAGTGTTAAGATTGTTTAAAACAAATGTATTAGTTTCAAAACTAAACTAGAAAACTAAAAACTTTGACAGCCGCGGTAAATCAAACTCTGCGATAAGTTAATTTAGGACATAGGATTCAAACATCTACACTTCAAAGAACATCTTAAACCCATCTGGCTTCAATATGCTATTGATGGGGACTGAGTAACTCCCAAGCAATCACCCACATTTCCTTTAATCGTCTGTGTAATTTGCAGGTCAAATAGTAAAAATAATGTGTTGGGTATTTTTTTTTTAACCTTTGCATTGTATTACTAGAAAAGCTACTTTAATCTACTTTTTTAGCTTAACAAAAGTCTGATAAATGAATATATTCTTGTAATCCATTAATTTCATATTGAATTGAGAGCTATAAAGAACTTAAAGAACCAGCATCATGTCTTAGTCCACCTTCTGGAAAGAATCTGTCAAAAGCGCCTTAATGAAAACTGAACTTGAATCTGTGAACTTAAATCTCATAGTTTCATGACTATTTATTAAAGGTAGACAGACATGACTGGCTAAATAACTTGAAAATCAAACACATTTCCTGGCTGCCACTGAATCAGATTCTGGACTTCATGTTCTGGTCCGTACTTCTATTTCTTTTAATCAGTAACAGAAAGCAGACAGAACATTAGGACACAAAGAGCCAAACTACTGAATTCCCAGCCTTCCTCTAAGATAAGGAAATAACTACTTTATTTTCTGACAAGGAAATCAGATTTTACAAACTTCTGAACCAAAAAGAGAAACGGGGCAGATCGTGTTAAGTGGGAGCTTAAAAGAAGGTTGGAGTGACAGGCAGCGCCTGAGGATAAAATCTCAATTGAGTGTCACATGACTAGAGTACAGCAGCTGGCCGGCACCTGCTGTTGCTGCTGCTTTATTCAGATTTTGATCGGGCCTAAGCCCTTTCCCAACGCTAACCAAATAAAACACGATTTAGAATTTGTTCATTTCCGCTCAGACTGAAGCAGAGATTTCCCCTCCACCGCTGCAGCTGGGACGTTCATTTCTTTATGTGCGGGCTAGCATAATGTCAACAGAAATAGAAATGCTGAGAAAGCAAGAAGACTGCCATTCCACCAAAATTGTAATGTTTACATATAAATGACGCAGAGATTTGTACGTACTGATAACCGTGGCAGGGTTAAGCTTTCTGAATATGTTTTGTGTGAACATAAAAGATTAAAATGACCTACTTTCCCGTATCGGTTATAATATCAAACACGTGACAGTTATCTGCTTTTCTTTTTCCGAACATTTCAGATTTTTGCTTCAGATTTGGATCGTCATGTTTGCAAAAGAATAAAGCGATAGAAACATCAAGGTGCAGTGACCCTTAAAGTTTCTGCATGACCATGAAATTGTAATAAAGCCATTTAATCAGACATCAAAAACAACCTCAATCACTGTTGCAAGTTACTTTGCAAATCGTTGGCTTTAAAATAAACAGAAGAAGCAAATGAACACACCCAAAAGACAGCACATTATCCTTCACATACCTGGAAGGTGCCACTCCTACAAGGTTGGGGCCAAGTCCTCTGAACAGCGAGCGAGGACCTTCTTTCTCCAAGATCAACCTGCAGAAACAGAAAACATTTCATTGTGGATCAATCTTTAATATTTAACAGAAACAAGTATGTGTTTTTTTAGGCAGAATTAAGCAAATGCTCCTAAGAACTGAAAAAACGAAAAACTGCCTTCTTCTGATTTGTTGTTTACATGGGCCACAAAAAAGAAGCAGTGAAGCAGTTGTTTGCGGTTTTATTTATTGTAGGAGCAGTAAATGAGAAACAGGAGCCAAAGTTGGAGCTGATTGCACAGGGAGTGACAGATAACCTGCAGCAAGATCAAAATAAATGACTGGACACGTGTTGTCGAGCAGGTTGTGTTTACTGTGATCTTGTCAAGAGAGCTCACGTGTTTTCCTCCGGTCACTTTAAGGGTTTTTCACCTGCGTCCGGTCTAGCCCAGTAACCTGATTTAAAATAAGGTCAATTTTACAAAGACACTGATGTAAAGTACAGCCAAAAGAACAGCAGGGAGACATTCTGGCAAGAACAGGACACCCGACTGATGTAAAAATAAACCCTAAAGGTCAGCTGGTGAAAGGACTGTAATATGTTTGATTTATTTATTTTTTATGAAATGGTTGATTTTTCAGGCGTTATATATTGCAGAATAGTTGCACGACGTAGTTGCAATATTTAGTGCAACTATTTTATCCTGTTCTTTTCATTCCATACGGAAATATCTCAAGCCTATATAAAGAAAAGGTGACATCATCCGTTCGTTGGTAGCTTGGAGGAAAACAGAGCGGTGCTGCTAACATGGAGAGCTTGGAGTGAATTCACTTTAAGAATCTAAGTCTGCATCCCTGTGCATGCTGACCCACTTTGACTCATGTGTCAGTTATCGCCTTTCCCTCTCTCTAAAGCGCTTCCCTTTTTAACCCTTCTGCACTCGGCATTGTGTCGCTCCATTTCTGCCAACGCCTGCTTGTGTCAAGGGCAGCACGAGGGATCAGTTTATGTTGGAAATAGAGGATTGTTGTGCACAAAAACATGAACCTGGTTGAAACAGGGCACCGGTCCAGAGGTACTAAACTGATGAACTGAATGAAAGGCAATACAAGCCGATTTATCGTGCAACTAAAATTGACTTTTCTTTGGAAGAAAGCCAAGATGTCATTTTTAATTAAAACAGAGGTGTTGGGAAATCAGATTAATTCTGAAATGTGTGCAAATGTTCTGCAAATGTTCTTCCAAAATCAAACCATAATGAGTGATAAATTATCATTTGTGTTATACAAGATCAGATTGTCCAACATGCTCAATGGGTATGATATTGTTGCAGGCATGCATTTTGCAGTGGAAAATTCCACACACAGCTGCTTGTGAATTATGCAATATGTTTAAAGCCAAGTGGCACAACCAAGTGACACAACAGAGACTGTTCTATGAGAGAAAGGCTGCATCTTTCTTAAATGTTTACCTGAAAACACCCAATTTCTAAGTAGTCGCCATTAAATAAAAATATTCTAAAAACAACAACTAAAACTACTCTAAATTCCCCTCTAGTCTCACTTCTCCCTTCATCTTAAAGGCATCTCCCCACTACTATAGAGAGAAGAGGAATTGGATCATGTTAACTCAGAGGGAAAGTTTCTTGTGAACTTTAATATGCCAATAAGTAAAGAAAATCCCTAGAAGACACAAACAGCAACAAGGTCAAAAGTCTCTCTGAAGTTTATCTTACGTAAAAGCAAATGATAACAAAAACCTGAAGCCAGATGGTTTATCATTGATGCCCTTCTCAGGTGCCTTAGTTGGGGGTTTTTGTTTAGATCTACAAACTACGCACGTAGTTTAGTGGATTAAAATCTATAAATAACTGTGTCACAGAATGAAGAGAAATCTTCTTTAAGGAGTTTTACATCAGTAAACTTTTACAACAACAAATAAAGACACTTTTGACTCGCATATTGATGTAACAAATTAAAGGAATATCCCACTGTTACAGCTGCACAATATTACGTATTTATGCACTAAGAGATATTTCCGTGATTAGATCAGCTTCGAGAAATCCACATTTACCCAACTCCTGTCTTTCAAATCTGTGACTCTTCTAACACTCTGATCTTTACGACCTCTGGTATCAGTGTGAGGTGTGGTCGTTGGATAAAGAGGCACTCGAGGCACTCCATCCAATAGACTGAGTACAACATTGGCAAGAACAGTTCCTGATGATTCGAATAAAACATCCCACAAATACTGCATTCCAAATAGTTCATTTGTAACATTATTACTGTACAACCTGATATCACAATGACGATATGTTTACTTAAGTCAAATACTTGTATTTGAGACACCATAAGAAATTGTAGGCATCAAAATAAATTGTAAATTGCAAAAATCCAGGCAGAAGGACTGACAAAAAATGTGCAAATAAACACACAAGTCTTAATAATTCCAACCACGTAGTCTAGTAGCTACGTGTTCTTAGCTGTGCTCCACCACCCACTTAATTTACGGTTACAACAAATATAGATTTGACAACAATCCATGCGACTAATATGATGGGGCGGATACTTTTTAAAAAGTCCAGAAAAACACTGCTGTCCCTCCCCAACCTGTTGCTGCAAATTGCAAGTTAGCTTGAACAAATTCAACTGCAGACTGGCTACCTCAGCAGATAGCCTGACTAATCAGCCAGCTGATATCAGATGTTTATACTCATAGTATTACAGTGCAAAGAAGAGAACAAAATAAAAATGTAAAATATTGTTCAAAGTATGCAAATTTGCTTGTACACTGCATCTAATTTAAAAAGTGTCCATTTTACATATCCCCCCCCCCCAAGTCTGTTGATAAATTACACTATCATTACTGGGTTAGTATTTGAGTACAAATGCCTGAAGCTTTTTGGTTTTTAAAATAAAATAAACTGGGTTATGTTACACATTGTTATGCAAACATCGTAAAACAGTCTTGTTGTTGTTGTTGTTTCCTCCCACCCCTCCCCCAAGATTTTCACGCAGTAAGAATTTCATCACAGCCAAAGCCCAGCCACAAATTAGAACCAAATAATCCGGCTGCAACTAAACATTTTCCTCACTTGAGACAATGCAGGGGTCCCGGTGGAGAAACACGGGCGACGCTGGTTCCATTAACGGTGCTGAGCTGGACTTCAGAGATGTACAGTGTGATGGAAGACGACTGCAACCTGGTTTTGACCACTTCCAGGGGACAAGTCAAAATGGCGCCTACAGTACCACCACATCTAGGAGAAGAAAGGTCAAAGTGATTATACAAGAGGATTCAAACAAGAAGGAAATCACAATCTTTCCTTTCGACTCTCATCACACAATTTAGCAAAACGAAGATTTTAAACTTTTGCTGAATATTACAGCGACTTATCAAACAATCCCTGATCTGTTTTTAACCCACAAAATGCTGCATCTTAAGAACAGAAGCCTTGGATTTTGTAGCCGTTCTTCAAGTTGGCTTTTATGCAAATCACTCCAGTGCTTTAAAGGGCTTGTAAATTGTTTACAAGCTGTGAATATGCAGTGGTTTATGCCGACGTCCTGGCTGGGAGCTGCTTTGGAGTAGCACTAGCTATATTTACCTTTCAAAACACCACTACACATTCATGCTCAGAGCCACTGGTGACCTTTCACCTACTTCCTGGGCTGGGTTTGCTGCTGCATGTGTGCTCTGGCAGGCAGCAGCAGCCCGAGGCGATTTTCAGAGGAAAAGAAAAATCAGGCATAAATTCTGCTTACTCATGGCCGTGCTGCGTTTTTGTCAACTCGGGTTTGTAGCAACCTGACAAATGACGGGTTAGCTGTGCTACTGATGAGATTACTTATTCTGGACTCAAAGGTTTGGTGCATAGATAAACTGAAGACAGTAGAGTTCATTCAAGACAGATAAAGTGGGTCAGAAAATCTGCTCACTTTTAATGCATTTTTAATTTTCTAGATGAAAATTTTGTCAGTCGTAGAACATTAATGAGAAAATTGTTTTTCTAAAAACATAATTGTGAGCATAAGCTTAGTTGTAGAACAAAATAGTTGCCAATGAATAAACTCGTGTTGATTTGGATCATTTTTAGGACCCATGAGATACAAAAAGTAAAAGTACAGCTACATATTGTAGTATACCAGGGTTTACATGAAGGTGGTTCATTAAAATTAAGCACCTAGGCATGCAGACTGCATCTGCAAACACAGAATGCATTCTCTGAATCCTAATGAGGCACAGTGATAGGATGTCACCCATCTAATAAGTCCAGTCAGAATTTCATTGGTCCTAAATATTTAATCAACCTTTGGTCATATAATAACAATGAGAACGTGACTAGAAATGGTAGACCACCTAAAAATCCCAGGAAGTGTTAGCAGATGTTGAAAGTCATTAGTAACAGATCTCCAAACTTAATGTGTTCTTCAAATTAGCTCTGTAACAGTACATAGAGAGCTTGACTGAATGGGTTTTCATGGCTGGGCAGCTGCAGCCAATCCTTACACCAAGTACAACACAAAGAGTCAGATGCAGTGGTGTAAAGAATGCCACCACTGAACCCTGGAGCAGTGGAGTTGTGTTCTCTGGAGTGAACATTCGTGCTTCTCTGTCTGGCAATTCAGTGGAAGTCTGGGTGGAGCAACAGCCAGTAGTAGTGGTAAGTAGAACAGTACTTACCAGACTATGCTGCGTCAAGAGTAAAGTTTGATGCACAGGTGAATTTAGTGAGGGGCTGTTTTTTAGTAGTCACTTAGTTCTAGTGAAAGGAACTCTTAATGTGTCTACTAAAACATTTTTGGACAATGTCATGCTCCCCCACTCTTTGAAAACAGTTTGAAATGGCACCTCCCTGCTCCCAATGTAAATACGACCCAGGCCAAACCAAGGTCCTTATAAACATGAATGGGGTTTGGTGTGGGAGAACCTGACTGGCCTGATTGACCAATCAGAACACATTTGTGATGGATTAGAGTGGACAAGAACCAGGCCTTCTTGTCAAACATCAGTGTCTGACCTCACAAACGTGCTTCTGGAAGAAAGTTGACATTAACTTCTAAAGTTGCAAATGGTGGGCAGACGTTATGTTAAAAATATGGATTAAGAATGGGATGTCACCAAATTTCATAATTTATGTCAAAGCAGACGATCAAATGCTTTGGTTAATAAAGTGAACGTAGTAGCGCGGTTTTTGCAGCATCGATGGAGTTTGAATGAGCCCGGAAATGAGATTCCACTTGCCGTCAAAATAAAGAAAATTGCGAATATTTAAAAGTCATAAAAGACAAATCACCGAGCTTTAAGTTAAACCACTGTTTATGGTGGCTTGCAGTGACCGTCGAGCAATGTGCTAGCTAATGTCGGCACTGACAGAGGTAGAAATAACCGGAAGTTTTGACACCAACACGATGAACGTGCACTCGTTCACATATCTGCCATGTTTTGCGGGATACTCACGCGCCTCGTTTCCCCCTTTGTTTCGCTCACATAACATAAGACAGCTCATATTTACCGCTGTAATTGTACAGTATTGGTCTTCAGGACTTACCCTCCGGCGAACAAATGAACCAGCGTGTCCCTTTGGCTCATTCTTTAGCATGCTCTGCCTAGCAGCGCGCCTCGGGCTGCGACAGAGAGTCGAACACCGAGTCGGTTCCCGTCCCTTCCCTCCCCTCTGCTTTCCGTCTCCGAGGGGATGCGCACGTCCACAGAGAAACGACCGCAAAAATAAGCGATAGGGCGAGTCTGCGGTGATTCACGCTGCAGTGGGCCGACTCGTCCGCCACTCTAGCTTGCTCTGGTTCCCTTTGAGCAGTGAAAAAATACCCGTTGTGTTCCGAGGAAAAAAAATATATACTCCACTGCAGAGCAGGGAGCGTACCAGGCTGCGCTCTGACACTAAAATGTCTCAGGTCTAACAAACGATTATATAGCACATCCGCAGGTCTAACTCGATTGTCTCCTCTGCTTTCATCGTTGCAGCAAAGGGAAAGGAGGCAGAGCTGATAGTATTTACTGTACCATCATAGGCTGGAAACGGAGGCCGCGATTGGACAGACTGGCTGCTGACGTCACTCCGTGTCGACCCTGATCATGCAGCCTTCACATGCTCAGAATTGAATGAATCATATTAAGTCCGTAGAATCAGAGGTAGATTAGATTGTGTTTGAAGGGGTCTGCAAAGCTCAACATCTTGTCACAGTTCGGGCTAGAGGTGCATTGGAAAAAGTATTCACACCCACTGAGCTCTTTCACGTGCTGTTATTTTACTAGGATTTAATGGGATAATCAAAGATAAATAGTGAATTACTGTAAACTGAGGAGCAAATACACATTTTCTAGATCTTTTGCAAACTGAATATTTGAAAATTGCACATTTCTATTCAGTCCCTTAACTCCAATCTACCAAAATAAAATTCTATGTGACCTTCAGAATTCATGAACAGAGCCCATTTATATTAACATCACTATTTTATACATCCAAGATACAAGAAGTCTCGGTTAAGGTTTGCCACAAAGCAAAATAGAGGACACAGCCAATATGTGAAGGAATAAAATCAGATAAAACCAAAATTGCACTGTTTTGCCTATTGGGGGCAAACTAGTACTGCACTTCACCTCAAACACACCAGTCATGAGGTAAAACATGGTGGCGGAAGCATTTTGCTGTGAGAAATTTTTATCTAGAATGCACAAATGATGAAAATTAATAGATGTCAAACAAATACACCCAATCCTATCCTCCAACACCTATAAGATACATCCACACAGCTTAGACTCAGGGCTTTAAATTTGTAAATGATAAAATGTTGACATGTGTGATAAAATTATGTGGGTTGTATAAAACTCTGTTAACAGTTCTCGATAGCTAGAAATCTCCAAACTGACTAAAATAAGTCAGATTTTGTCACTAAGCTCCATCTGTGTTGCAAATATTTCAAAGGAATTATTTTTCAAAGGAAAACTATCAAACACAAACATGAAATGTTGTCTCTGTCAATACAGGGAAAGAGTATTTAAAACAAAAGGTGCAAAGTACATTTGTCTGGAGAGGGAGATTCCTTATTTATGAGCTGCATTGAAAATGTATAAACTAGTCCAAAAAGAACCTTAGAGCAAAATTATTTTTACTCTAATAATGTAAATACACATTAATCATTTTTATCTGAACTTAACATGTGTAGTTAATTTACCAGTCATATTATGTTGAACCTCATGTCATCAGTAAAACATGGAAGATGTTATAATGTGGGAAAAAGTATTCACACCCACCCACATGCTCTGAATTTCAGAATTCAAATCTGAAATTCTGAACCAAAAAAGTACATCAAGATAATTACTGCTCACATTGTGTCAAAGAAAACTTTAGGAAGTAAATGCGATTGGTACAATATGCTAAATAACAACTCTAAAAGTTGCTTGATCTTTCGTGGACGTTGAATTTAGTTCAAAGTTTATTGAGTTTCGTCACAGAAGAATTGTATACATTTTTGGCATGTTTTGGGAAAACCAACATTTAAAACTTAACTCTCTTATCACTGTTTGTTAGAATGAGCTGTTTGAAAAGGGATAAAATAATTCATTACTGAAACAACAAGTGAACTTTTTAACTCAGAGATGTATAATTTTTCACATGATTGTATGTCAAGTTGAAATCATGTGCATGGCTTCACTTTTCCTATTTGTTCTATCAAGACCAATAATTTAATATGGTCCATTAGCAAAGTCCCGTGACAGAACAGTCAGAAGAGTGAAATCACAGGGGTTGGTGCTTCTCTCATCAGTGAATGATGTTTGACTGCAGTGAATGGAATGGCCCCAAAATCAACATTTTAAAAGAAAAATATAATAATAAATATCTTTCCTAAAAATATATTTCAGTCACAGATGTCAAAACTAGGGAAGTGCAAACAACATGTGCGTGAACAGCTATAAAGTATTTTATAAATTATACACTTTTTAAATCTTAAAAAAGACTAGACTTATTGTTTGTTTGCTTTACCTTTTTTTTGTACTGAGGGAATAGTTCAGTCTTTAAAATCAATACAGTCAGTGTGCGATCAAAGTTAAAAACACTATAAGCACTCTGATGGACACATAAAGGACTAATGCTATCAATTTAAATTCAATAAAATATACATTTTGTGTATATAGTTGAGACCTTTGACAAATTTATGTAAAAAATGAGTAGGCAAATGAGCAACTTTGAAATGTTCAATATGGGCTTTCTGAAACAACCAACGACACAAACAGCTGCCTTTAACAGTCCCTAATAAGTCGATAAAGGGGCCTAACAAAGAAAAGGTGAAGAACTTAAATAAATATAAATGTGACTCTAGCTTTTTCTCATGAGATTGATAGCACAAGTAAGTATAAGGACAAGAGCCCATCAGATAATGAGAGAAACTTGATTAGTCCCTCACGAGAATGAAGCTTAAAAGATCACGAGATGGAGGTGAAGTACCTGAATTAAGCTGTTATTGAAAGCCAAACGCTCTGAATAAGTTATGCAATCTGTCTTTAACTTCTACTCACTGTACCTTTTTCTCTTTATAACAAATGTACATTCTTGATTTGTTCTGCTTTTTTCTTTTTCTTTTTCTTAGGCTTTGGAACTTTGATAAACGTTGAACAATGGCCATCCTTTGCAGGAGTTACAAAATTATTTCAAGAGTGCATCAACGTCACACAGATCAGGTCATGGAAGAACACTGTATTTTGTAATTTCTCAGTTTCTGTCTGATGCAATTTTTGGGAGAAAAGAGACAAAAAGGAATGTGTAAGGAGAAGATCTAAGGTCTTCTCTGATTCTTTGAAAGTTACCGATATAATTCTTTGTGACATTTACAAAGAACTCAACAAGAACCCCCAGCAAAATACATATTATCAGACATTTCCTTTAATGAGTTGCATGTGTATATTATTATTATTAACAGCAGTATTTCTACAAGTTCAAATCCTGGCGAACCAATACAATATCCTGACTGTGCTGTGTTAATGATTTGCCAGTGCATTTCTCTGGTGGTCCCAGTTAAAGTTCACTAACACATGTCCCATGATATCCCACGCATGTGGAGATGCAGCATCTCATGATTTGTGTTGGACTTTGACTCAATAGATAGGTGAACTCTAACTAATAAGAGGCATGCCTGGAGGGACATTCGCAATTTCCCATAATACCTGTTCATTTGTGCGTGTGCGTGTGTGTGTGTGTGTGTGTGTGTGTGTGTGTGTGTGTGTGTGTGTGTGTGCAGAGGTTAAACTTACTTTAAACAAACTCATTCATTATCTGTGTTTGGGATCAAAGGAACCAAAAGTGACAGAAATAGAAACGGTGACATGGTAAAAATAGACACTATTATACAACAAGGTATTTTTCTAAGACAGATGGTCAAGAATCATTTACCTAAAATGAACTGAATATATCTCAGTACCCATAAGGTGTATTTGCATTATTCTTGTACAGAGTTTTCCAGGGGCTTCTAGAAGTCTTAAAATTAAATGATCTCAATTTTATGAATTTTATGTCGTTACAAATATTGTATGTATTTATATTTTTATTTTGTACTATGATTATTTCCTGCTTACAGTTAAAACAACCCGACTTTTAATATTACAGTAAGAAAAAATAATAAAAGAAACAGTATGAAAAGTATGTGTAATACCTAAAGGATGTTATCTCCAAAAGATACTTTTAATCTGACTATTGAGCCGAATCGGAAAGAATGTTTTAATTTATTAAATATGGAAATATAGAGTAGAAAAGCACCACTTTAATGAATGCCACTGTTGATTCACGTAGCCTGACTAATTGCTTCCCCCTAGTGGTTTTGCAGTGGGAAAAAAACGCTCTTAATAAATTAAGCGCTTCTCACGGAACCCATCTGGTGACAGAGAAAAGATAAAATAAAACTAAAATCCTGATATATTAACGGATAATGCTTAACGTTATCCTTGATGTTTAAGATTATTGCCAATGTTTATCAGATGTCAAATTTCATCTCCAGAAAAGTTTCCTTTTGCGTTAAACATTGGAGATAAAGTAAAACATTCCAGATACAGTAAACATAGCAACAATGACAATTTCACCTTATATGACCTTAAACATCAAGGACAACATTGAGCATTGGAGATAAAACAAAAAGTTAGGGACAAAGTTAAACATCCTGGACAATTTTAAACATTGGAGATAACATTGGGGATGTTTAATGTTGTCTCTTTTTCTGTCATCTCAAAGGAATCTTCATGTTGAATCTCCACATTCAAAGACAAACTCCCAGGATTTTCTGGTTTTATTCATTTTTATTTTAACAGATTGTGAGAACATCCCTGTAAAGAAATCAAAATGGTCACATAATTCCCAGGAATGGAACGGAACCAGAATGGAAGGAGGGATGGAGGGAACCAGGATGGATGGATAGAGAGAACGAGGTTAGATGGATGGATGGATGGATGGATGGATGGATGGATGGAACCAGGTTGGATGGAGATCATCTGGGTCAGAAAGCAGCTTCTCATCAGGACGGTAGTTAAATCCTCATTTGCTTCTCTCAGATCTGAAGTTAATCAGCTATCCGTATTTTTTTATCCTTTCAAACTGCCTCAAACTGGTTCCTGCACCGCACAGAGCTCTCCGGACCTCTCCCCAATGCATCAAACAGGAGATTTTGATTATAAAAATTGTCACACATTTCATATAATATCTTTAAACTCTCATAAAACAGACATAAGCAGTTTCCATACCAAAGCATCTGTTACACTCAATATTTTCTTATTAGTTTTCTACTTCTTTGGATATAATGCAGTAATACATTTTTCAAATGACATACTGTTAAGTCTATGATCTATGTAAAAAAAAACAACAACTACTGATTAATCTAATATTAATCGAATTGTGCTCATTATATCTAAGAAAAATGTTCTACTGACTAAGTTATATATACTGATTAAAACATGAGTCTAAATTTAACCTAAATTGAGGCCTACTCAAAATCATTATCAATCCAATATTTCAACATGCGTTAAAATCAAACGTCATTAAAAACTAGCATAATTAAACAAATATTTTCAACACTTCTCATTTAATTTGATCAGATCAAGAATCCAGAGAAACCCCTACAAGTTTATAAAATACAGACTAATTATTAAACAAGGGGGACCAATAAGTTCTATACTTTTACCTTTTGGCCTTTCTTTTGGTTTGTTGTTTTGTTTGCATTTCCTTCTAATTCATGTAAAGTGCCTCGAGCCTTGTTGCTGAAAATGTGTAAATAAAATTGCCTTATAGTAACTAAGTCTTGGCCGCGAGTAACAACTCTGATATTTCGTGGCCACAATTTTTCTTTTTCTTTCTTTTCTCTGATATCACCAAACGGGCTCCCTACTTCTACATTGTTGACGTTAATAGATTTTTTAGTTGCCTACATTATTGATAATTTCAAAGAATAAAACAGGCATGTTTTACTCTTCGTTTGTTGATACAATTTATGAAAGTAGCAATTTAAATAAATAAAAATAATATTTAAAAAAAGCGGGATGATGCAACATTCTTATTGAACTTTGTTCGATCTTTTTTTTTTTTTTGAGTTTCTTTGATACCCTATTGACTGATTTACTGTATTCATCATTCCGACATCACAAATGACTGTGAAGGCAGCACGGGGTCACATGACCAGTGCACAGCTGAGGGATGCCGAGGCTTACCCGTTGCTAGCCAGCTAGCCCCGTTTTCTGGGTCTAGCTATTCTGGCAGAATCCGGTGGATTTTATTCTACATTTTCTAATCAAATTCAATCAAGTGGCCCGAACTGCCTGTCATGGGGAGGGTACACTGCATATGGTCGTCGTCTGTATGCTCTCGTCATGGCAGCTTTTGCTCAGGCTTCATAGTCATAAATCGTAGCTAGGGTTGTCCAGTTAGCTCAAGGCCAAGCGAAGAAAAGGCAGGCCGTCGGGTGAGTACACTTACAGTAAAGTCATATTTTCCACCTTAGTAGCATAATTTTTTTGTCAGCCACATAACATATTTGCTCTATTGTAAACAACTACCAAAACAAGGCATCAGGTTTTATCATTTTTAAATACTTATATTCTTATCGGTTATTACACACCAATGCTACTGTCAGTTGAGCATAATTAACGATGGGTGTGTTATTTATTACGGCCAACCGCTTAATAGAAACTCAAAATGTAGATACTAATCGCTCTGATTTTTTTTTTCTCGCCTTTTAGTGTGATAAAGCTTAATAATTTTTTCTCTCTTAGTATGTCGGATTGAACTGAAGTAAAACCTTGCAGTCCTGGTTAGTATGTCATGAATTGTAGTCAAATGTTTACTTGTTCGATTCCTACAGCATTTTAAGAATGTAATTTTAACAACTAGGAGGTTATTGTAGATAAATTACAGGTTTACATGTTGTTTTTGACACGGCCACCCAGACCTCAGGAACTCGGTTGAAAAACAAACACTCCCACTACACTGTCAAACATTCCTTATGTGGGTGAAGGCATTAATAGATCTTAAAGCCAAATAGCCCACATTCACTCTCCTTCTGATTCTTGGACAGTTTATGGGTGTTTTTTGTGCGGGGGGGATTGGTTTTAATTTTATTCTAGCTTCTTTTTTTCTTTTTTTTTAACTCACATTTAAACGTATTTTTTTTAAATACACAAGGATTTCTATGATTTTTTTTCCTCATTGATCACCTTAAAGACTTTGCCCTAAAAGTAAAAAGAAAAAAATAAACAGGAATGCATGTTGGAGCCAATTTCCTGTTTGCTCAAACTGCATTAGATGTTAATTTTAAAAAATGCATGAGCAGTGGCTTTTTTGGATTTAACTAATACTGGTATTAATTTGAAAGAAAATATTTCGATACAGTTTTTTTTTTCCAAGGAACACACAAAATGAAGATATCCACAGGCTTATGGATTTCAGTTTTTTTTATTATTTATTTATTTTTTTTTTATCAGTAGCGGTTTTTCTTATTCTTTCCACAAGGTTTTCCCCCCCAGAAAACTTGTTAAGCTCTGCAGTTGGGCACTCAGAAGTCATTCATCTAGCGGCCCATCATGTTTTTGTGTTAAAAAAAATGTTTAAACTTGAGAGTAAATTTGAAAATATCACTTGATAATTATGTGTTATTGGAAGATTTAAAGATTAATATCTGAACACCAACTATAACGTTTTTTTGTTTGTTTGTTTGTTTGTTTGTTTGTTTTTAAAAAGCAAACATTTAAAAAAGACTCAAATAAATAAGCAATGCTAAGCCTGGTGGGGACACAAGTAAAGCCTGGTGGCCCGCCAGGCTTAGAATAGACTGGGGGAAACTCTGATTTTCAGACTTTTGATTATTAATTGATTCGTGTTTGTCTGTGGTCAGTGTGTAGCTATTTAAAGAGAAATCCTAGTGGATAAAGTTGTGCTTTTGTGGTCACTTTTTTGCTCTTTAGCTATCAGTTTCTGAAAGCTATATAAATACATTTTTAAATATTAAGAAAAAAAAAGCAGGTGCACACGAAAATAAATAAAATATTTTGAATCAAAATTGAATGACTGAGAGACAAACTATTTTTTTAGTAAAGTGCCTGGAGATAACGTGTTCTGAATTGATGCTATATAGATAAACTGAACTGAATTGAAATCTTCTAGGGGTATGAGTAAGTTTGAGATGAACTGCTTCTGAAATTTAGATTCTGTGTAGATTAGAGAGAAATCACATTAAATTCAAACTTAATCACCTAATTCCTGTTTTCTACTTTTTTCAATATTGAAATTGTAAAATAATACCATCCTTGTAAAAATGATGTTTCCAATTCAAAACCTAAAACTGATGACACTGTAACTGAGAAGTGTGAGTAAAGAAGTGACTAAAAGGCACAAGAGTCTGTCTTTTTTTTTTACATAATCATGTGACATCTGCTTTTATGTTGCTAATATCCTGGGACTTTTCCCTGTAGGTGGATCAGAGAAGTTTGGGGGATTGAATCTTTCAAATCAAATCCAGTTCAGGATCAGTTCTTCAGTTGAAGCCAGCGCCGGCCTCTGCCAGTATTGTCGTCACTTTCGACCCCAGATGAGCCATGTCTTCGTCAGGGTGCTGCCAGCTCCCCGGATCCCTCTGCGATTATTCTGAGAACACTGAGCCCGATGCCTCTAAGCATTCAGAGGAGTCCGATTCTACTACACAGGCCCAGTACGTTGCCAAGGTTACAGCTAAAGATGGCCGCCCACTCTCCACTGTTGTCAAAGCTGTGAGCTTGCAGAGGTGAGTATAAAACTAGCATGTGGCTCCAGAGTGTATGCTGCAAATAAGTGGCTCACATTATTATGATTTTTTTATTTATTTATTTTTTTCCCCTTCCCCTCCGATGCGGTCGCGTGTCGGCGCTCAGCGATGTGGGGATGTGTCGGATCTGTCATGAGGGCGCCGGAGGGGAGACACTGCTCTCACCCTGCGACTGCACTGGTACTCTGGGAAAAGTGCACAAGAGCTGCCTGGAAAAGTGGCTGTCGTCCTCCAACACCAGCTACTGTGAACTTTGTCACACAGAGTTCACCATTGAGCGGAGACCACAACCACTGACACAGGTAGGAGGGGCTGAACTAACTGCGGCGATGGATGTGTTTGGTATCTTGTTTTGTATGTTTACTAGAAGTTGAGTCTCATTTGGTATTTAGCATTGCAGTACTTTGCCGTCTTCACGGTGAGAGCAGATATTTTCTAAAACGACCGGTTCACATCACACAGATATATTCGGCAAAGCTCTTCCTTTAGATTTCTATTTTCTAAACTGATACCACCGCTAAGTTTGAATTGCACCAGTAAGCTCTTCATTTTGCTGTCCTTCAGTGGCTGAAGGACCCCGGCCCTCGGAGTGAGAAGCGCACACTGCTGTGTGACATGGCCTGTTTCCTTCTCATCACGCCCCTGGCGGCTATTTCCGGGTGGTTGTGTCTCAGGGGGGCCCAGGACCATCTGCAGCTGAAAAGCAGATTGGAGGCTGTTGGACTTATTGCCCTAACCATCGCCCTCTTCACCATCTACATCCTCTGGACACTGGTAACTACGGCTTTCGCTCGCCACTGTAATTTATATTCTCAGGTGAACCGTCTATCATTTTCAACTCATAGCCGTTTTCTTACTCTGTGGTGTTTAAGACAAAAAGAGAAATCTTTCGGAAATTTGCTCTTGATTTTAGCTCATATTTTATTAGCTTAGTTTTTTTTAAAAATCAAAACAAGTCTCTTATAAATGAGATCTTGTGATCCTGTATGAATAAAGGTCAAATGAATATATATATTTAAAAAATACTGTTGCAAAAGTGGCTGGAGAGAGGGAAGTCTGGGCCTCCCTTTTTCAAATCTGAATAGATTCTTGAAGCTGGATCTTTTTTTTTTTTTTTTTTTTACTAGGATTTCTGCACCATCTCCCCCCCAACAAAGTATCAGCTAAGGACGGTAGAGCCAGACCCAGAGGAGTCGGGGATAAAACATAAAACTTATTTCAGTCAAAACCACCTTCGTGTCGTTTGTGTGTTCAGTACGAACGTCTTTAAATGCTTATCAGAGAATTACTGGGGGAGTGAAACGGGTGGGACAATAAGGACATCAGGACTTCTATTTAAAAAATATTATTAAAAATAATATTTTTAATAATATCTGAAGCTGCTGCCCCCCCTACCGGATGGATGGAGGAATGGAGGGATGGAGAGAGGGAGGGAGAGATGGATGGATGGATGGATGGATGGAGTTCCAAATTAAGTCGTCTGAATGACAATGTAAAACAAATTTCTAGATTTTGTCAACAGTACTTTGCAAAATGTTTCAAAACCTTTTTTTTTTTTTCATGTTATAGCAACAAGCTTAATTGTATTTTATTAAAAAGAAAATGATTAATTTCATTGATATGTTCTTTTTTCAAAAGTAAATTTAAAAAGTGAGGTATGCATTTGTATTTAACTCCCGTGTGGCTGTACTTTCTACAGCCACTTTGTGTTGCAATTAAGTCTTTTGGCGTCTGTCTCTAAGCGGGTTGCAGTACAAATTGAAATTTTTCACAATCTTCTTTGCAAAATGGCTCAAGCTCAGTCAGATTGGTTGGAAAACATCTCTACTTACACAGACCTTTAATTGTGTTTAGTTCTGAACTTTTACTAGGCCGTTTCTTTACCTTAATCGAAACCTTTCCATGGTAACGCGGTGGTTGTTTAGCTCCGTTTAGACGTTTTCCTCGGAGATAGCTTTTTATTTAGTTCCATTCATCTTCCCATCCATACTGACCAGTTTTCATGTCTTTGCTGAACAAAACCTTCCCCTCAGCATGATGCTGCCACCATCATGTCTGAGATCGGGGACGTTGTGTTCACGGTGTCACAGTGTTAGTTTTCTGCCACACGTAATGTTTTAAATACGGGCAAGGTTATTTGATTTTGCTCTCATCTGACCAGATCATATTCTTCCATGTGTTGGTTGTGTTACATATACGGCTTTTCGCAAAAGCTTTTAAAAATAACTTCTTCTTGTTGTATACCAACAGTGATTTTCTGCTTGCCACTCCTCCGAAAAGGGCCAGAGTTGTGTATTGCATGACTAATAGTTATTCTGTAAATAGATTTTCCAATTAGAGCTGTGGATTTCTGCAGTTTTTCTAAATTTATAAAGTGTTAAATTACACACGAATGAACTGAATTTACTAATTAATTGATTTCTTTAGGCAGCTGCTTTGTGTTGGTGTAAAGGGCTCTAAATGTATATGGATACAGTGCTGTAGATTTTTATTTAGAAATAAAATCCATTCACTTCCCAATTAGTATCTGCTTTATGTTGATATTTTACATAAAATCCCAACGGGTTACGTTGAAGTTTGTCCTGCAGAAGAGATTGTTCTCCAGTTTTTTTGAAGTGGGGAACTCATAAAACATGATGAGCGAAGAATAGCAGGACTTTATGTGCAGCTTCTTATCATTCAGAGCTTCCGAGAATCTACATGCCTGAACAGAAACGCATAGCTTGCTGAGATCAGAAGCCAAATTTCTCCTCCACATCTACTGAACCGGGTGTATAAAAAGCCACCGAGAGAAACTTTGCAAAGCGCACTTATGAATTCACTTTTAAAAATTAGCCTTCGTCTTTCTTTCTCTGCGTTGCATTCATCATGCTGTCTCTCGGACATCTTTTGTCAGGTTTGTTGACACGTCTTTTAATCTCCTTTCACTGTCTGTTGTGGACCAACCCCCTCTTCTTTGTCGCCCGACCTCTAGGTGTCGTTTCGGTATCACTGTCAGTTGTACTCGGAGTGGAGGAGGACCAATCAGAAAGTTCGCCTGCTCATGCCCGACATGAAGGGGGCGCACACCACCCAGCGTTCGGTGCCGACCAAGTCGACCAAGAAAATGACTGACGAGACCATCGTATGAGTGCCGGGGCGGCGGCGAGGGAAATAATGCAAATCAAGCTCACACAAGCACTCTAAAAACAAGATTAATCATAGTAATACTGAACTTTTGCACTTCATATGGACGATCCTGAAGGGAAAGGGATGCTTTCTCCTCATGATTCTTTGTTAAAGCACTTGATTAAAAAAAACAAAACAAACAAAAACAAAACTACGTTATTGGCTGCCCACAAAAAGTGGATTTGGGAGGAACTCATTTCAGAGTGGTGTTAGATTATTAAAAACTGTGTATTCACCAGAGCTGGGGACGTGAACGAACTGACACTCGGAGATTGAACTAACCAGCCTGACTTTTTATGTCAGTGGCAGAAACTTATAAAATACTAAGACACAAGCTAATGTAGCAGGATATAACTGATTCAGCATGCTACTACAGTATAATAAGAGACATATTCACTACCTATAATTCCCCTATTATGCCCCCTGCACAATGTATTTAGCTGGTTTTAAACCGTGGACGAACAGTAGTTCTGCAAATGGATAGGAACCTAAGAAGATTGACAAAGTCTAGCTGTGAATACTCCTTTTTTTTGTTTGTTTGTTTGTTTGTTTGACAAGTAGAGGGCGACTGTCGCCTCTATCACTGTCCCTGTCTATAATCTGAAGCTTTTAAGTTTCCAGGTACAGCTTTTACATTGCTTTCTCTAGAGGGAACGTTAAATCATGTTCCTCCTTGGTCAGTAAAGGGAGACGCGTTGCATCAGTCACACATGTCAAAGGGGGGGGGGGGGGGGGGGGGGGGGGTTTTTCTGGGAATCGTAGTTCATAAAATGACACTAACTCGCTCTGAAAAAGTATTGAAGGCATGAAAAGTGTTTACATTCTAATTGGATGATGTCTCTTCTGTTGTCATAAAAGTGCATTAGGAAATAGCCTCACTCCATGTGTAAATGCATCACTCATGAGCTGAGCTGGATAGAAATGGTCTGTGGTAAAATGTCTTAAAAACCACAAGAAATTAAATTAAAAAAATAAAAATACAACAGCGACCGTGTTCAGATTGGTGAGATGGAAGGCACTGGGGAAACGATAGACATGCAATTTGAGAGCAGTCTGGGCCTCAGCAAAATGCAAAAGAGAAATGTGCTTTGAGATGTCAATCGATGTATACTAAAAGTATTTTTGTGTTACTGTAGTCTTCCTGCTTCATCCCCCTGGAAAGTTGGGTTATTGTGCAATAAAACATGAGGGACTCCTGGACATCGTGTGAACTGGGATTTGCTTACTTGTTTGCGTGAATTAATTTTTTTTTTATTGCAGCAGAACTAAAAAAAAAAAAAAAAAAAGCAATTTTGAAAATGTGAAGTCTAAGCACATTTATTCAGTGGGGGGAATCTCGTATTAGGGAATAACAGTGACATAATTTTTAGCAACCTAAAATTTTCTTTCTTTTAATTTTTTTGTAGAACTGAAGCAGGGTGTCTGCATTCTTAAAAAAATCTTAAATTTATGCATCTGAAATCAAGGCCTTACGATGTCTTGAATTCATAAAAGAAAAATAAATGTGTTAATCACAGGTCTCAAATTTTGCTGTGGCAAGTTTACGTAATCTTGTTTATTCTGTGTATTATTTTTTTTTTGTATGGAACTTGTCTGTTATAGTTCCAGTCACTGTGTTCTGTGACTTAAGGTGTTTGAAGCTACCACTAACCAGCTGCTAATATACCTTTGCTAGCCCTTTTACTTCCTACCATCCCAAGCATAAACATTCAGTTGGCCAAACTTTCAATGGGACTTTAACTGGGACGATATTGAAGCACAAATTAAATTAAGATTGAGCTTTTCAGATGAGCCTGGTGTAAAATGGAACGAACATGAGAAAACTGTGTGGTGGAGGATCTGTGGTGTTTGTTAAATTGCTTGCCATTATAAACTCTTTAAAATACTTTTGAGATTAAAAAAAAAAAAAAAAGATTTTATTGAGCAGTGAAGAGACAAAGGCCAGAGACGGGGAGTCGAACTCAGGACAACCGCGTCAAAGAGTCTGTACATGGTGTGCACGCTTTACCAACTTAGCCACCCAGTACCATGCTTAATTTAAAAAAAAAAAATCCCCCAGACTTAACCAGTAATCTGAAAATGTATCATCATTTCAATGTATCATAACACAAAACACAAATCTCTAAAGAAATGCTTCACCAGACGCAACGTATGTAATGTGTTCCCCATTGAATATATATGCACATAATTTAAAGTTCGGGCTCGTTAAAGTGTGCAATTATACAACTGCAGTGGAAGATTGCTTGGAGGCGTTTTACACTTCACCAGGGGAGCCAGCAACTTGGTCTGTGTTGATGCCTTGTAATCAGGCAGTGTGGGAGTTTGAGAAGGGAATTTTTCATTTCTCTTCCTTGTATGATATTTCTGTGTAATGTTACTATACACACAGCTGCTGTTCAGAACACGAAGCAAATATCTCAGTAAAGGTTAAAAACAAAAGTCTATGGATGATCTGATGCTCTGTTCAATTCAAATACTCTCTGCTACTCAAGCATAACTGGTGTGTGGGTGAAAGTGAGCTTTTCATTTACTGGGCAACAGTAAACTTTAGGCGGTATCCTGGATATTTTTATTCCTTTTTAACAAGTTATTTTGTATTGGTCTTGCATAGAAGCAACGAGTTGTTCGGCTGTTTCTTCATTATGCTTCTCAGACTGTTTAAAAAAAAAAAACTGCATGAAGCTTGAGGGAAAAGTAAACACAAAAACACTTTCCAAATTCAATTAGAGTCGTGAGGTTGAATACTTAAATGAGGACGTTCCTCCCACATTTTTAATCATCGGCTGTCTAATCTATAGTCTGTACTGCTTTTTTTTGTTTTGTTTTTAAAAAGGACACTGCAAAGTAATATTGTAAAATTTATTTCCATGGCATTAATATAATGTATGTGAGCAGACAAGCTATCAAAACAAACCGAACAAAATATATTTTACACAAAAACAAAGTAAGCGTCAGCAGCGTCACAACCACTTTTGGAGATGATGACTGAGGGAGGAAAAGGCCCAAAGACAGGACTGCTGATCCCGGTGAAACTGGCAGCATTTCAAACCCAGGCCTTCAGTTTGTGCCAGCAACAGTCTACCAGAGAGATGTCTAGGCATACAGGGTCTCGGACAAGGCTATACTGCTACGCTAACATGTTAACTAGCTGGTAGCTGCTCGGGGAGGCGGGGGGGAGAGTGTACCTTCAGTCCTGTTTTTGTGCCACGATGTTTTGACCATACCTGGGTCAGATTATTACTTGAAATCAAACTCTTCCTTCTATCTGGGACTGATCGGTTGTGGCTTAATGGAACTGACTTCACTGATTCAAAAGGTGCAGGCTCTGACTTGTCGTGCCCCAGCGTATTCGAAAGCACATCGACACTAGTGGATTTCAGTTAATAATCGGACCGGGTGAGGCAGGACGGGGTGTTTTCCAGCGGGGGTTACAGGTTCTGACAGCACTGCAGCTTGCTCCCCCTCTGGCCGTCCGTGGTCGGAGGGACGCTGATGTCCACCACGTTGTTTCCTGGGGACTCGTCGTGGGCAGATCGCTCAGCAATCTGTTTCTGTGATACAATCCGGTATATTTCTGTTTTCACAAAGATAAAAAAAACAGGTGATGTTTCAGAAAAGAGTAATCATATACTCTGTTCACACTTGTACCTCTTGGACACCTAAGATAGTACAAAGCTAATCTGGAAAGGGAAACTAGATTAGAAAGAGGAAGTCGCATATGCAAAGTTTAAAAGTCAGCTTCCTGCAGCAGATGAAACGGTGAAATCATATAGTGATAAACATTTGGACCAGCTGGTTTGAATTATATCAGTAACATCTGAGTATGCTGGGTGCTGGCGAACAGGATTCCCAGTGCTTCAGGAGCCAGACTTTAGGTGTCACCTTAATATACAGTGGCATGAAAAAGTATATCCCCCCTGTCAGATGTCTTTTGTTTTTGTCGTACGCATGGGATCATCAAACAAATGTTAATATCAGAGCTTAGTATGTACAAAAAAAGCTGCTTACCAGCAATAATTTACGAGGAGAACAAAATCTAACTAAAGTGTCCCTCCCATGTGGAAAGTGTAATTGCCTCCTTAACATCAACGTTGAGTTGATGTTTTTAAAAATCTTTTACTTAACATTTTGTTTCGTTTAGGTCCGATTTAAGTGACTTCTTGATTGTACAGATCAGGTAGTAATCAGACTAAAACAGCTGGCTTTTCCCAACGAACTCATTTTCTAAACAAGAAACCCTTATTCTGATTCTGTGCAGGCTGGTTTGGTCCCATTTTTTTTACCTTCATAAATAAAACTGCATGTTGCTTATCCTTGTCTGATACTAACATTCCCCACATGATCTTATATGCGACAAAAAAAATAAAAACAAGAAATTGACTGAAGCGCTTTTTCCACATCTCTGAATGTAATTAATGGTTATTATTTTAATAAGAACAAGTGGAGAGAGTTGTCAACAAGGCAATACAATTGCATCTTACACCATGTAGCGCAAACATATTTTTACTTTAGATTTACCGCCGCTTTTTCATAATAAAATCACACATTTCAATGTATTTTACTGGGATTTAATGGACCAATACAAAGTAGGGGATAATTGTGAAGTGGAAAAAAATAATGCGTAGTTTTCAACCCTTTTTCTGCAAATAAAAATGTGTAAAGTTTGGTATGTAGATACGAGCAGCTGTTTTTACTCAAACACCCTTAAATAAAATATAATCACCACGATTTCAATTTAATCCCATTTTGAACATAAAGTGGTTCCGTAAATGTGTCAGAGGCTAAATCATGATTGCTAACATACTAAAAATAAGATTATCCACTCCCCACACATTTTCCCATTACTAATACCCTACTGTGTGTCACAATTGAGTTTAAATATATGCATGAATCACAGGGGCACATTTATAGAAGTCAGTGACATGAGAAAATAACTTTTGTTGGCAGCCATGTTAAAATTGATGAAAACAATAACCAGAATTCAGTCAGAAAACATTAAGCTTCTATATGAAAATGTTCTTTAAAAAGTTTTTTAACATACAGGAGTATTGTTATAACCCAACAGGAAAATATTAACCCATCTTGATACAACCTTTTTTTTTTTTTTTTTTTTTTTACCAGATCAGAGTTCACTTATCTCTTCAGATTCCAATTTGATTTATTGAAACAGTGGTTACTGCAGTAATTTGTGCAAATACATCTATAGAGGAATACTGACTGACTGCAGAGCTGATGCGTTAATAAATATGAATCTAGTAAAATGCATTTGTATTGCTCCCTTTCTTCTCCTTACCCTGTTATCGTCTGATTATAACGTACCTGTAAGAATATTCTTGAAGGCTTCCTCGACGTTTGTTGAGTCCAAGGCTGAGGTTTCTATGAATGACAGATTGTTCTTCTCTGTGGGTTCACACACAAACACATGAAGTTTTACTACTCGACTCATCCAGTGATACCAGCTGTTCCCCAGTAACAGAGACAGCTCAGTTACCTGCAAAGGCTCGCGCCTCGTCTGTGGGCACAGCCCTGAGGTGGCGCAGGTCGCTTTTGTTGCCGACCAGCATGATGACGATGTTGTTGTCGGCGTGGTCTCTCAGCTCCTTCAGCCAGCGCTCCACATTCTCGTAGGTCAGGTGTTTAGCTATGTCGTACACTAGCAGCGCCCCCACGGCTCCTCTGTAGTACCTGTGACACCGTCAATGGGAAGAGCAACTTAAATCGACGGACTCAAAGCTTCGGTTATTGGATTCGTTTCTTTTTTTTTCTTCCATTTAAACTCATTGCTTTCCAAACTTTCACGGTAAGTTTAGTATTCCGCTTTCTCCATTTGTAGAATGCACCGAAGTCTGGAAACAAAGCTAAAGTCGGCTGGAGATTGGCATCAACTCGCTTCTCCTAGAATAACCTGGCTTAGATAGTAAATTGATGGATAGCACACTCATTGTTATGATTGAACATAAGAGAAAATCATTAAAAAAGTCTTGTTCTAACCAAATATTACAGGAGAATGGAATGTAAATGAAAAAAAGCATATAAATCAATCCAATAATCTATCTTTACCAAAAACTAAGTCAGAATATAAAAGTGAAGGGTACCTCAAATGTAAACAGTAGTACTGTCATAACCAATCCATCCTCTGTGGTCACAGGCCTGAGGTGGCGCAGGTCACTCATTATATCCGTCACTTATAAAGAAATGTTGGTAAATTCTTTCTGATCCTTCTTGCCATGTGGCTTTGTTTCATTCAGATTTGAGGACTTTCATTTTTGCAGTCATATAGTCATTTTGCTGACTGTATGACTGCAAATTGTCCCGGGCTATTGTCTGTATAATAAGCCTACATCTATTGTTGGTGTTACATGTTTGCGCTCTTACAGTATGCTGCATGTTGTTACACCAAAGCAGTATTATTTACCAAGACGTCATGTTGATACCTCAGGTGATAAACATAAAGCATTCTGCCATGTTGTTTGGAATATGACTGTACCAACTTTGCGATTGCTTTTTTTAAAATTATTATTATCTAAACCGTCCCCATTAACTCCAGCTCTTTGCTTAGGCTTTTTGCTGCATCCAACACATTACCTTTGATAAATTACATTTCCATTTGTCTTCCCATCCAAGTACAGGCCACTTTGAATACTGACTAGCATCATGATATTAAGGATGGTGTTGTTGGGTAAGAATACTTTTCAAAGCGTATGTAAGGTCAGCAGTTTTCAGGGTGAAATTGCTGAAATGCCTCTGCTTGCGGGTCATTTATCTACTGCAGAATCACTGACTTCCTATTGTTTGATTTGTAGCGCTTTCCAGGTTGATGTACGCCAACAACAGCTTCTCTAAATTCATTGTTGCTTTTGTTCCTCCTTGGTATTGTGCTAACAGAAATTAAACGCTGCCAACTGGGCCTGCAAACTGACAAAATTTCTCATTTTGCAGAAGTACACATGCTGGCCAGTGATCAGTTACTTGCTGCAACTAGATGCCGTTTTTAAAGCCTGTCTGGTTGTTTGTGTGGGTCAGCTAACATTCCAGTTAGTTGAATCATTCTGATCTCAGAGTTGTACGCCGTTTGTGACTACCATGGTGCAATATTTCCCCCACACTGCAGGTGTTGCAAGACTTGAAGATTTGCAATCACAGCACAAACAGACTTACGCCGAAGTGATGGCTCTGTAGCGTTCCTGTCCTGCTGTATCCCAGATCTGAGCTTTTATCGTCTTGCCGTCCACCTGGATGCTGCGCGTGGCAAACTCCACCCCGATGGTGCTCTTGCTCTCGAGGTTGAACTCGTTCCGTGTAAATCTGGACAGCAGGTTGCTCTTCCCAACACCTGAGTCTCCAATTAACACGACTGTGGAGGAATAGAAGAGTGTGCGAGTCAATGTTGCGATGTTAAATCAAAGAAGACTTTGAACGTTCCTGTCAACACTGAAGTGGGTCATACTGATCTCTGTAGGCACTTTTATGAATGGGAACTTCAAATAGGAAGACAAAACACCAGATAAAGAGATTTCTTGACTTTTGAATGCAGGATTTGATCTGGTTTGATTTTCCTTTAGCAGGCATTATTTATTCTCACAGTCTAAGACTCTACAAGTATGATCTAAAGTGATAAGCGTAAGTAAACATAGCCCGTGACATTCCCCATGGTGTCTTGCAAAAACTATTCTTCACAACCCATTAACTTTTTTGAATGTTGCATCCAAAGACTTCAGAGTATTTTGGAAGGATTTGGGGGACAGATCAAAACAAAGTAGCATTGATCATTTCCCTTTTGTTGAAAAACTGTTAAGGGAAATGAAATACATTTTTGAGCCTCCTATCAATCTAATACCCCTAAATAAAATCCTGGGACTATATTTCGCTCTTGAAGTTACCTACTTAGTACAATCGACCTGTTTTTCTATTATGAGGTTTTCTAAGGATCATTAATGAACAAATCAATATCATGACACCCAAGAAAAGCAGCAGGCAGCTCAGGGACAAAACTGTTGAGAAGCTCAGAGAAATAACATCTCAGTGTTTGCACATTCCACCAATGAAAATGGAAAAAGCACGGCACAACTACAAACCTACCAAGACATGACCAACATCAGCCTGAACGGGACCCATCGTCAACAAATAGTCTTAAGTAGACAAGCAGCCAAAAGACCTGTAGCAACTCTGGATGAGCTGCAGAGATCCACAACTCAGGTGGAAGAATACTGCTTGTAATTTCGCACAAGCCATAGGGGACAGGCATAAAATGTGGAAGAGGATGTTTTGGTTCGATGGGTCTGAAACTGAACTCTATGGTCTCCAACAAAAACAAA